GAATATTATCTAGTGATAAAAAGAAGTGAGCTATCAAGCCATGAAAAGACATGAAGGAATTTTAAATGCATATTTAAACAGTAAAAAGATCAGTGATCACCAGAAGTTTAAGTAGAGTAGGAGTGAATAGGCCTAGAGCACAGAAAATTTTAAGACAGAGTATATTCTGTATGATACTGCAATGACATAATTTGCCAAATCCTACAGAATATACAACAGGATGAGAGAACCCTAATGGAAACTAATTTTGTGGGAGATAAAATGTTTTCTTTACCCATCATTGGTTCTCAGATAAGTCACTATAATAAAAGACGGGTTATAAAAGACAAGAGAAAACAGTTTATTGACATACTAGAGGCCTGATGCATAAAATTCATGCAAGAGTAGGCCTTCCTTCCTACTCTGAGGTTATAAAGTTAACTCTTGAGTCCAGAAATGTTCATGTGCACCTCAGGGAAGGGTAACTCAAAGATGTGATTTAGAATTCAAGCTTATATAGCATTTTCAGAAAAGAGCAGACATTTGTAGAGAAATGATAGGACAAAGGAAAGTGGTTTTAGGTTTCCAAGGAGAGCAAACTGTAGGAAAATAAACATGTGGAAAACTAATGGTCAATAGTGGTTTGTCAGTAAAGTTTGTTATACTGATTCCTCTGTTGCCTTCTCCAGGCTGTGGTCTTACCTTAACCACAGATTGTCCCAGTGATTAAGTTTTGTCCCTCGTAGTAGAAAGAGGAGGGACACCTGTGAAAAATGTATGCCTGCTTTTAGGCAAATAGGGGGAAGGGTTTTTTGTGTATCTGCTTCTTCTCAATGCCTTCAGCTCAAAATAATCTTTATGCCAAAGTGATATATTTGGGAGTGACACATTCTGCTTTCTTTCACTATAGACTTTGGTGGATAATGATATACCAATGTTGGCTCATTGTCTGAGACACATATACCACACTGATGTGGGGTGTTGATGGTGGGGAAGGCTATGTATTAAGTGTGATGGGTAGGGAGATATAAGGACTCTATACTTTCCACTCAATTTTGCTGTGAACCTGAAACTGCTCTAAAAAATAAAGCCTGTTAATTTTTTTTAATACTGAAAAGTACAAATTAGAAAAAAATAGGGCCATATCCTACCTACTTTTCTCATCTTTTAAAAATACATATGCAATGTTGTTGTTGTTGTTGTTGTTGTTTTAATTGGAGGAAATACATAGCCATTCCCCAAGAAAACTGTTCTAAGTTAAAGACCATAGCCTTACGGGGACACAAAACACCAATCTAATACTAGCTATTACTGGTAATAATACTATAATTATTGACAATAACACAAATAATTCAAGTGTTTTATTTCCTGTTAGATCAACAGATATTTTATTAAAGAGTGCCAACAAAAATCTATAAAATTCTTAAACAGTGTATTTAATAATATCTAGCACTTCTTAGGATGGATGATAGGCAATACAGAATGCTAAGAAAGAAGAGAGAGAGAGAGAGAGAGAGAGAGAGAGAGAGAGAGAGAGAGAGAGAGAGAGAGGTAACTCATGGACATGGACAACAGTGTGGTGATTGTGAGGAGGAAGGGGTAGGGAAAGTGGAAGAGGGCAAAGAGGGTATAAATGGTGATAGGAAAAATAATAAAATAATACAGAATGCTAAGATATTTCAAATATATCCTATAATTTATAAAACAATCTCAATTTATAAATTACGAAACTGGTAAACAATGAGCCTCAATCACCCAGTTTAGTGATAAAGATGGAGTTCTATCTCAGGTCAGCAGAATACCAAAGTTAAGGTGGATTCTTAGGATTGTCACTCCACCATCTTCATCAGAACTTGTTAGAGAAGAGTTCAACTGATTGTTGAGGGATGATTGGTTTTTATGGGTCTTGATTGTGGGTATGGAAGGTGATTTGTGTATCTATACTCTGTGTTCTAGCTCAGAAGCAATTTATTTTTCCATGTGAGTAGTACATTCATTACATTAATATATTTTCTAAATAAAAATGAATTTCCAATTAAATCACTTCCTAATGAAAACAAATGTATCCTTTCTTATTTTTCATCACCCATTTTCCTAAGTTTCCATCATAAGAATTTTAACCTCCTTCCTTAGAATAGCTGTTTATATAACTGACCCACCATTGCAAGATACTGAAAGCCTTTACATATTCATTCTCTACATTAAAAAAAAATCTTTATGCTAAAATATCAATGATAGAATTGAGTTTGTTGGATGATAGGTAGGAAAAAGCAATTGAATCACACATACTTTTAATTGGAAAGCTGCTATACTACAAAATAGTGGATGTAAATGACAAAGTTGCTAGATACTTTAAAAATAAGGTCTTGAGAACCATGGCTTTGTAATATAGCTTGATATTTGATATTGTGATCCCTCCAACTTTGTTCTTCTTTCTCAGAATTGCTGTGGCTATTCAGGATCTTTTTTTGTTCCAGATAAATTTTTGGAGAATTTGTTCTAGGCCTGTGAAATATGCCTTTGGTATTTTAATGGGGATTGCATTGAAGCTATAAATTGCATTGGGTAGTATGGACATTTTAATGATGTTGATTCTACCAGTCCATGAACATGAAATGTTCTTTCATTTGTTTATGTCTTCTTCTATCACTTTATTCAATGTCCTGTAGTTTTAGAGTACCAGTCTTTTACCTCCTTAGTTAAGTTTATTCCTAGGTACCTTAATTTTTGGTGCAATGGTAAATGGGATTTTTTTAAAAAAAAATTCCCTTTCTGTGAGTTCATTATTGGTGTACAAGAAAGCCATAGAGCCAAACCGGTTTGGCTCAGTGGGTAGAGTGTCTGCCCGCAGACTGAAAGGTCCCAGGTTCGATTCTGGTCAAGGGCATGTACATTGGTTGCGGGCACAACCCTAGTAGGGGGTGTGCAGGAGGCAGCTGTTCGATGTTTCTCTCTCATTGATATTTCTAGCTCTCTATCCCTATCCTTTCCTCTCTGTAAAAAATAAATAAAATATATTTTTAAAAAAAAGAAAGCCATAGATTTCTAGCTGATAATTTTGTATCCTGCTACATTGCAGAATTTATTTATTAAGTCTAGTAGTTTTTTTTATGGAATCTTTGGGGTTTTCTAAGAACCATCAACAAAAAACAACATGAAAGCCCACTGAATGGGAGAACATATTTGTCAATGCTATTTCTGATAATATTTAATCTCCAAAATTTACAGGGAATTCATACAACTTAGTAAAAGGAAGATAAAAAATCCAATATAAAAATGGGCAAAGGACCTAAATAGATACTTTTCAAAAGAGGACATACAGAAGACCCAGAGACGTATGAAAACATGCTCAAGTCACTAATCATCTGAGATGCAAACCAAAACAATAATTAAGTATAATTTCACACCTGTCAGAATGGCTATCATCAACAAGTCATCAAAAGACAAGTATTGGCTGAAACCGGTTTGGCTCAATGGATAGAGCCTAGGCTTGAGGACTGAAAGGTCCCAGGTTCGATTCTGGTCAAGGGCATACCTTGGTTGCGGGCATATCCCCAGTAGGGGGTGTGCAAGAGGCAGCTGATCGATGTTTCTCTCTCATGGATGTTTCTAACTCTCTATCTCTCTCCCTTCCTCTCTGTACAAAATCAATAAAATATATATTTTTTTAAAAAAGACAAGTATTGGCAAGGATGTAGAGAAAAAGGAACCCTTGTGCACTGCTGGTGGGAATGCAGACTGGTGCAACCACTATGGGAAACAGTACAGAGTTTCCTCAAAAATTTAAAAATGGAACTGCCACTTGACCCAGTAATCCCACTTATAGGAATATATCCCAAGAAACCAGAAACACCAATCAGAAATGATATATGTATCCCTATGTTCATAGCAGCACAATTTACAATAGTTAAGATTTGGAAACAGTCTAAGTGCCCATCAACAGATGAATAGATTAGAAAATTAGAACATTGCATGTTTTCACTCATATGAGGATTATAATGATCAACATAAAATGATGAACAAAAATAGATCCAGATCCCTAATCAATTTGGGTCAGTGGATAAAGCAACCCTGTGGACTCAAGGGTTCCAGGTTTGATTCTGGTCAAGGGCATGTACCTTGGTTATGGGCACATCCCCAGCAGAGGGTGTGCAGGAGGCAACCAATTGATGTTTATTTCTCATCTATGTTTCTAACTCTCCATCCCTCTCCCTTACTCTCTGTAACAAATCAATAAAGTATATTTCTTTAAAAATAGATCCAGAGACAAAGTAGCACTGAACAGACCATCCAACCTCAGAGAGAAAGTGGGGAAAGGGAGGTTAGAGATAAACCAAAGGACTTGTATGCATGCATATTAACATAACCAATGGACACAGACACTGGGGTTGTGGGGGCTTGCCCTCAGGGGTGGGAATGTCTGGGAAAGGAGACATATTTAATACTTTAAATAATAAAAAAATAAGATCAATTACTCCATTAAAAATAATTCAAAAGCTTTATGAATCAAAGAATCTACTTAAAAGCACAAAATTTTTTTGGAATTATTGCAAAGAGATATAAAACATTTACAAACCCACCAAGATATGTTATCAGTTGGCCTCTGTCAGCTAATGAAAAAGAATATTAGATTTACCATCTGTTTTTGGCAAATGAATTCCCATTCAAAAAGTCAACAATCTTTTCAGCATATTATTTTCAGTATATAAGATTACTGATTTAAGACTGCTGCATGGTGGGATAATGGGGGGGGGGGTGGATACTGAAAGACAAAAGGCAATAAACTAACAGAAAGCTATGATTTTGATTCTGCTTCAAGTTTCTTCTACCCCAAATTTATAAATATCTATGTTTAGTCTCAATTTGGTCATTAACTTGCTGTGTTAATGTTGGACAACTCAATTCCCTGATTTGTCCTTCGGTGTTCTCATCATTTTGTATGAGGCCTGGGAACCTTATCATAATCATTGTTATCTTTTTCTCCAATGTAAGAAACTCCTTATCTCTTAAAGAAGACTCACCTGCTCTGAAACTCCTTCTCCGTAGCGAAGCAAAGTCACAAAATGCTCACAGTTGTTGACCAGTACGTCATACTCCACTTCCTGTCCAATAACAAACTCTGACCGTTGCATGACTTCTTCCATGGGGAGGGGAGAGTACGTTTCATCATATTTATTGTTTATTCTATATGTGTCATTGCCTGCAACATCCTTCAGGAGCTGCATCTTCACCAGGGCCTTTCTGCTGAATATGGACTTGGCGCTTGTAAATGATGCAGGAATGCCATCCTCTATAAGGAGAATTTTGGTTAGTGAGCTGTAGTGACCCAGCCCAGTGAATTTTCCCTGCCATCTAAAGACTTTGAAAGTGTTGGGATAACTGAACCCATCTCTGTTCCAAATGTTTCATCAAACCAGAAATCACTTAACTTACCAGTCTAAGCGCTCCTTGTAATTTATCAATATACTTATTCAATGATGTATGAGTGCAAGAAGACTTTGGAAAATTTACATCTCTCTAAGAGTAAATTGGATAAGAAAACTGTGCCCCTTCTTGAGTAATAAGTTCTCTATCACTTTATTAGAGATCTTGGTACATGTCTAGATGTTTGAGATCTTGGTACATGTCTCTGACATATTGATGTTCGGATAGGACCATTGCCCATGTTTTCTGTAAAGCGGTCTCTTTTTCAGCACGTGAACCCTTCCCAGCTAATATTGTTGGGCTTGAGCAGTAGTGCATTATGATTAGTAGGGTTGTCCTAGTGTCTAAGCTGCATTCCTTACCCTTAACTCAATTTTACACTTATTCTTTCAACTATGTTTTAATTTGTGTCCAATTTGAAATTTGCACAGTTACCCCATTCCTCTGAGGAGTGAGCTGGGGTCATGTGGAGTTACTGCTTTGGTTTTGTCAGTTTCTTTGGCCAAGAAACTAAGTCCTGAACATGAACCTGACCTAGTATGCACTCTCTGCTACGTGTGGCCTCAAGCCTCAAGCCCGATGCATAAAATGGTCAATAGTGGCTTGTCAGTAAAGTTTATCATACTCACCTGTTATAAGGCCTCATGCCCTGTCACTATGTCTTATCTGCCTCTATGGATAAGCATTTACCTAGATTGCCAGAGACATTTGTAACCTGGCTTGTCATAGTCAGTGTCCGAGGCTGGACAGGCAATTCCTCAAGGTTCAGCTCCACCGCCAGACTCCAGTCCCTCTCCCTCTGTCCAAGATGCTATGCGTGGCCCTTGTTCCAGTAAATCATGCGTGGGAAGGTCTGTGTAACCAGTGCTTAGACACTTTTCCTTTTGGTAGTGACTAAAAGCAAACTTTCTTTCCTGCTCCTCCTTTTTCTATCTACCAAGCTCCTATTCATTGGAGCAGCATTTCCAAATCTTACACATTGAAAGTTCTTACACTTACAAGTTCTTAGACCACATATATTCTAGTTAGAATTATAATTATTTTTTACTAGTCTGATGTAATCAATTTGCAGATGAGGAGATTGATGCTTGGAGAAGTAAACTGGCTTGCAAAACATCACATGAGTAGTTAACAACATAAATGGGAATCGAATTTCAGTCTACAGAATCAATGCTCAGTGTTTGGACCACATCAATAAGAAGCTTATGACATGAAAATAAAGAAACAGCACCAAAATTTCATATTATTTCCCAGATGTGAGCATTGCAGGAATAATGTAGGAAGTTGCTAAGTGTTAATCCCCAAGCTCTGCAGAAACTAGCAGCTATGTATCATAAATGTCATTGTATTTGCCATTTCCATTTTTAATATTCTGGAACTATCTCAAAATATTGCAAAAACTACTTCAAGATAGTAAGATTTAGGCATATTGACACTTCTTTAAAGGTATTTTTAAGGAAAAAATTCTTTAGGTTATTTATCTGCATATATTTTCCCAATAAATTAATTTGTGCTCATCTCTAAACATGTAGGAAATGCAGAAAATAGAGCATAAACATGTAACTATAAATATTCCACCATCCTGTCACCTAGAAATAACTGCTATTATTTTTATGTACTTAAGTCTTTTTTAGCACAATATAAAGGTGCATATATCTGTGTGTATTTATGGATATATATATGTTTTTGCATACTGGGTTTTATATTGCATGCTACATTTTAATCTAGAATTTTCAAATAAATATCATGTGAGAATCATCTCACATGAAATTAAATATGTCTAGAAAAGTGATCTTTTTAATGGCTTTTATGGTGGCTATAGTTTTTTGCTATTTAGCACTTCATCCCTTCACTGATATTCTATCTGGGGGGTAAAAAAAACTCTATTTAGGCCAATAAGCTTAGTGAAGGTCCAGCAATGGGTTTGGGACACCCACTGGATGAATTAGAGTCATTCTCCATGATTCTTCTAACTTCAACAGACAGGATTAGCTATCTCTTCTATAGGTAACCAGTTTATAAGAATGAGAATCTAAGGATGCTGATGGTCATTAGTTTGGCTCCATAGAGAGACATAGCCTGTGAAAATGAGGGCCACAAATAGAAAAAAGTATAGAAGTTAGACAGAGTCTTAATAGTGTTCAAACTTCTCATTTTAGGCAGCCCTGAGGCCAGCACCATCTCTGCCCTTTCTGTAGTTTCTCTTAGTGAGACAATGAGTTATCTTTTTGTTTAAGCTAGTTTGAGTATGATTTATTACTTGCAACTAAAGAATCCTGCCAAAACACAGATGCCTAATATTTTGCAGCTAAATAATAATTTGTTTAACTGTTTTCTTATTGAATGTTAAGTCATTGTCTATTTTTTAAACCATTATGAGTGAGATAGACATGAATACCCTTACACAGAAATGTTACATTTATATCTTTTAGATATTTCCCATCAACAGATTCGTAAAAGTACAACTAGAGGGTAAGAACATAGGAACTCCTTTAAGACTCTTAGCACATCTTATTAAATTGTTTTTGTGAATTTTTATCAACTTATATTTCTACCAGCAATATCTTTGTTTTCATTTCATTATACCCTTTTTTAACCTGTGCTAATGTGATAAGCATAAAATCTATCATTTTATTTGATAATTCTTAGAGGACTAAAAAGTTAAAACCTTCACAGATGAGTGTTAGCTTTTGTTTTCTTCTTTTGCAAATTGTTCATAACTGTTTACTTAAGTGTGTTGTGTGTGTGTGTGTGTGTGTGTGTGTGTGTGTGTGTTTAATATTTGGGTGTTTGCTGTCCACTTGGCCTGAAAAACTTTTTTCCCAAATATAATCTGCTCAGTTTTCTCATCTCTTTCAAGTTCAGAAATGTTACTTTCTTATGAGATTTTCCCAACCACCTCACTTATAATTACTGTACCCCTAATCTTCTACCATTTCCTTTTCTGCTTCTATGATTTATTTTCTCCATATTATTTTATATTTACTTATCTTTACTCTAACATTGCTCTCTGTTCTCTCTCTCTCTCTCTCTCTCTCTCTCTCTCTCTCTCTCTCTCTCACCCCTTCCTACCCTTCAAGAATATAAACTACACCATGCAGGGACTGGTTTATGCATATCCAGCATCTAGAATAGCATTTTACACATACTGGATAATCTATAAATAGATGTTAAATGAATTGAGATAACTAATTTGTATGCTATAAAAAAAGTGACTCTTGTCATGTTTGTGGCAAATATATTTCCTGTTTGATTATTTAAACCAGAAGTTTTACATTTCAATGTGAACTGGTCTTTGTGTTTTCTTCAATCTTTGGTCTTAAAATATTATCCCCTAAACCTAGATCAGCTATATTTATCAGCTTTCTATATTTTAGTTTAGTTAGTTTTATGATTCTGTTCATGATATTTTTTTCTGGTAATAATAATAATAATAATAATAATAATAGTAACAACCTAAAAAGCTCCCAGGAGCTTTTGGAAAGAAACCTTACCCAGAGGTGTTAAGTTGATAACGTAACCATCACCCAAGTACAGGGCCCAGTGCTGATAGGCAGGACGAAACACTTCAATCAAGTCCCCTGGCTGGGGGCTGCCAGGGTAGGTCAAACTAAAATCATTCACCGCCATCTGTAATGACAGACATAATGAAAATCTAGCCAACATGACTTGACCAAAGAAAATCAGTTTAAGACTTCCATAGAAGCGATGGGAGACAGAATTTGTTGAGATCACACTCCTTATTAAAGACTTAGACTTATGCCCTGCTCCGTTTCTTTGAATGATTCCAACACCGAACTATGTGTGCACAAGAGGACAAGTGGAGACCTTGTGTGCTTTTGCTTAATTGTCTATTGCAATGCTTTTCATCCTAATCAACCCCAAGGCCCCTTTGTTATAATAAGCATCTTATAATTCTCTTCAAGTCCAAAATTTTACAGATAATATTATTTACCTACAGACAATATTTTCAAGAACATGATGCCATGTTTGGAATAGAATAGGGAAGGATATTTATATCAATATCTGTTTTACTATGTAAATAACTACACAAAAAGACATAATAAAGTATCTATATTCTTGCACTTTCTAAGCATGAGAAGGTCAGGATTGAAAAGCAAACAATGAGAAGTCTTTCATATCGCAGCATAATAAAATCAAAGAGCAGAGGTATGGGCGGCTGCTAATATTCTGTGCAAAAAAAAGAAAATAAATAAAATAGTGTATTGCAAAACTTACTCTGTGAGTTAATTTAAGCAGACGTAAGTTCTAGGCTTGGATGAGTGTCCAGTCAGATATTCAGGCATCTAATGGGATACAGGACATTTACCCTTGTGCCGAACTATGGTGCCTGTCTGGGCATGCTGGCCTCTACCCACGGCATATCAGTGAATGCCCTTTGTCATTGTGACAACAACAATGGCAAAGATTTCTCCCCTCCCCCTGCCATTGCCCTGCTTACTGTCTGATTCCTTGCTTCCTGATTCCAGAACCAGTACCAGGTGGTCAGCATTGAAGTGGGTAATTTGGAAGATTGGGGAATTCATCATAATGATGAACATGTCTGAAAAGTGTAAGTCTGACCAGATCTTTTTTCCTTGTAAATCAATTCTTTTCAGAAAGAACATATGTCTCTTAAGTTTATTTCTATGGAAAGTTAAGCATTCTATGTATGGCACAGAAGTCTAATGACTCAACAAGAGGAAGTTATGTACATCCATCACAAATCAAAAGGAGATTTAATGTGAAATCCGTGTTGAACATCTAATTGACAACAAAGTGTTTCTCATCATCTAATGTAGACGTGTACACTCACTGACAAAATAAACCCAAGTGCCAGAAAGGGAAACTTCCAAGTCATCACAATTATAATCATAATAGCATCAGCTAAGGACTCAGAAGACAAAACATGATTTTCCTGGCACTCTCAAAGTCTTTTTTACAGCAGTTGATATTGGGAGGGTGTTTTCCCAAGTATTTGTATGCCATCTGTTGAAAACTTCAATCATCACACTGGCACATGAACATGGCCTATATAAACTGTCCATCTGTTGAAAAATAACTATTAAAAACAACTTTATGAAAATCATTAAGTCTAACGACCCTGTCAAATATGTTTGAGCCTTATTAATATGGCAGTTCCCTATTTGGCCACATGGGTACTAAAAGGAAAAATAGATAATATACTGTGATATAAACAAACATATTTCCAATGAAGAGGAATCAGCAAGCACACACAGCTGCCTACTAGAATTCAGAGACCTAGCCAAGCTCACAATAATAAACATCATTTAAACAGCACTTTGTAGTGTAACCTTTTTTTTTTTCAAATGCATTATCTCAATTCACTTTCTTTAATTAAAAAAAAAAACTACTACAACTATTTGAGTTCATTTGTTATTAAGCCATTTAACATCTTAAAAAGTGACAGTAGAAAATGCCAACTTTTTGGAAACACCTACTGAAATCTTTACTTTATAAAATATAAAGAGGAGCTCTGGCCAGTGTGGTTCGGTGGTTGGAGTTTTGGTCCATGCACCAAAGGGTGGTGGGTTCAATTCCCAGTCAAGGGCACATACCTGAATTGCAAGTTTAATCCATGACCCCAGTTGCTCCTCATGCATGAGGCAACAAGTCAATTTGTCTCTTTCACATGGATGTTTCAATGTTTCTCTCTTCTCTCTCTCTCTCTCTCTCTCTCTCTCTCTCTCTCTCTCTCTCTCTCTCTCTCTCTCCCTCTCCCTCTCCCTCTCCCTCTCCCTCTCCCTCTTTCCTTCTCTCTCCCTTATTCCTCTCATTTCCACTCTCTCTTAAAAGCAATTGAAAAATATCCTTGGGTGAGGATTAAAACTATATATGGGAGAATAACTGGACTGGATGTTAAACATATGAGCTCTTGTCTTAGGTCTTTTACTTAGGAAAAGTCATTCAAATTGTCTGCATCTCAGTTTTATCATTTTAAAGGCGGGCATAAGAAGGCATAAGACAGGCTGTTGAAAATAACTTTTCATAAACTGGCTAAAAGCTATTGCAAGTGCTTTGTGAACTGGCAAGAGCTAGGCAGGTGTATGGTCAGAGAGGAATGTGATTTTCATTCCTTATCCTCTCTTTCAGCCACGATCATTTTTTAGAATGGATGATTCCACTGCAAAATGATAATATATTTAGCACATTTTAAATTCCGACATATACCTTTTAAACTGGTTTATGAAATGGAATTTCATTGATTTCATGAAGCCTGTCATATTTATAAAGAGGGGTGACAGGATAACAAGGAAAATATTTCATATCACTAAGTACATTCTCAGGAAATGGAGAGAAGAGCCTGAAGGCTAACCTTAAAGGGAAAGTGATTTCTGACAATGAACATGTGGAAAGGCACTTTAGATGTTACCTGACTCAGTGCTCTCCAAGCTCGGCTTTAGCAGTGGGGCCCTTACCAAGTCAAACATTAGATAGAAGCTCAAAAAACCCCTTCTGCTCCTTACTGTTGCTGCTCCTGAGGCTATTGTGACCCCAGACCTTACACTTTCAGGAATGGATCCTGAATGATGCTTAACTAGTCTGAATGCAACCCCCTCACTTGTAAGACAGAGGAAACAGAACCAGGCAGGTAATTTGTCTTGCCCAAGGTCATATGCTTTTTTTCCAAAAGATTTTTAACACATCGTTTTGCTGGAGCAACTGGACTTCATTCAGTTGGGAGAAGTGGGGGTGAACCTCAAACTAAGTCTCACACCGTATATAAAAAAATGATTCAAAATGGATCATAAACTTAAATGTGAAGTGTAAAGCTATAAAGCATAAACAAAAACCACATAGGAGAAAATTCTCAGGATCTAGAGTAAGCACAGAGTTCTCAAACTTGGTACTATCCATAAAAGTACTATCCATAAAAGGAAAGACTGACAAAAGGGTGTGCTCAAAATTTAAAACTTTTGCGCTGTAAAAGATTGTGAAATGGACAAAAAGACAAACTACAGAGTGGGAGAAAATATTTACAAATCATATATGCAAGAAAGGACTCATATGGAGATCATATATTGAAATGTCAAAACTCAGAAATAGGAAAGCAAAGAATATAATTAGAACTTAAGCACAATATACACAAAGACACATTTTATCAAGAAGACGCATATGTCAGGCAGGTCATGCTAAACATCACTAGCCATTATGGAAATGGCAGGTGAAAATGAGGTAGCCATACACACATATCACAATAGCACAAGTAAAAAGGTATTGGCCACGAAATGCTGCCAAGGATGCAGGATAACTGGGTCACTCATTAATTGCTGGTGAGAATATGAAATGGTACAGTCATTCTGGAAGAAGTCCATCAGTTTATTTTTTCTTAATCTTTATTGTTGTGAGTATTATAGATGTCTCCTTTCTTACCTCTGTTAATCCCCTACCCCTTGTTCCTACCCTCCTCAGGCCTTCCCCCAATGACCCAGAAACTGCACTCCTAGCCATTTACCCCAGAGACTGAAGACAATGACGACTTATATTCACACAAATATTTATAGCAGCTTATTCATAATAGCCAAAACTGGAAAAAAATCTATATGACCTTCCATAAGTGAGTGGTTACACAAATTGTGGTACAGCCATACTCTGAAATACTACTAATAAGAAATAAAAAAGAACAAACTATTGATACCTTCAAGGACTTGGATTAATTTCCAGAGAATTATGCTGAGTGAAACAAAGACAATGGTAAAGGTCAAATATGTGTGATTCTATTTGTACAACATTTTCGAAATGACAAAGTTATAGAAATAGAGAACAAAAAGTGATCACCAGGGATGAGAGGGAAGTGGGTTTGGCTATAAAAAGGCAACATGAGAGATTCTAATGATGATGGACATGTCCTGCATCTCCAGCGGGTCCGTGCCAATCTCCTGGTTGTGATTTTGTATTGCAATTCTACAAGTAGTTACCATTGAGGAAGCTGGACAAGGTTCAGTGAATCTCTCTGTGTTATTTCTTACAATTGCACATGAATCTACACTTACCTCAAAATTTTTTTTAAAAGTATTTTTAAAGGCTAATGCTTTTTTCTTTTTCTTTAAAAAGAAAAAGTTACCTGTCTCATTGCTGTTTATTTAAATAGAGCATAGAAGAGAACCAGTATGTAGAAGTTACATATGTCATAATATTTTCTTTCCTTGATGATGATTCAATAATGAAATGGAGCACCTTGTGTAGATAGCAGGTTCTGAGAGTATTTAAACACGGTCAGGAAAAATAAAATTTCCATGGCAGGGGCATGGGGAAGGGGTGTTAGGGTAATGAAGCCTTCTAAGGTCCTTTTCAACCACAACATTCTCTCATTCTGTTTTCCAGAAACTGTGCTAGGTATAATCCTCAAATCAACATCACAAAATAGATATAATTATTTCCTGATGTGCACAGCAGTTCAGGAACTCATCCAAAATCACACAGCGGGAAGGAGCAGAACCCACATCTGGACTCAGATTAGCCTACCTCCAAGGTCAGGCCCCTGTCCTGACAGCTTCTCCCATGCATGCTATCCAGCCTCCCTTGCTGACATTTCTGCAGTCTGCCTCACTAGCTGCTACACTGTCAGCTGATTGCTATGACCACCATTTTACAGGTGAAGAGTCGGA